TTTTATGGCTTCTATCATTCCAAATTCCTATTTGAGTGCTCAAATTTCTTTTTTTGTAAGTTGTTTAAGAAATGGATTCTTTTTCATTTTTTAATTACTATTTTACTCTTCCTCGGCCATCAGTTTCAATCCTCTATTCTGCAAATGTCAAGTACCTCAGTTCTCTATAGGGCTGGGTGTGTGCTTTATTTTCCAGATGGAGACTTTTTCACTTACACAAGACGCGAACCTATTGGAGTATGTGGCCAAATCATTCCTGTAAGTTACTCTCCTGCACGATTAAAAAAGAAAACCTAACTCTCTTTAATTTGGTGACAAAGATTTCTCCATCACAAATGGATGCTTGCTTACTGGCCAAATGTGATATGAATTTCAACAAGCAGGACCTATTGAAAAGAGTCTTCCTGTGACTGAATTTCTGGGATATAATTTAGGAAATACTGAAATCTTGCTATACCCTGACATACCTCTTCAGTGTGCTTCAGTATTCCTGCATCAAAGCCCCAGCCTTTTCCTCTAAGAGTTATTTTCAAAAACTTGCATTATGCACTCTTGTTAGAAGCCATGCTTTGTGAGATGTGTCAGAGGGAGGACTGGGCTCCTCTGCTGTGGGACAGCCCTTCCGGGGACTGTGCTCCACCGACCACTCCACCACTCTGTCCCCTCTGACGTCTCTTCACAGACTCAGAAGCAATAAAAGTGTTCAGTTCCTGACAGACATTTTCTTTCCTATTGGTACGCGTTGGCAGAACACAATGATTACATTCCCTGTGGTAGGTGGCTACATATGCATAACACACTTAATTCTTTGATCCCCTACTCCTCCTCTCCTGCCCCCACTGCCTCCATCACTTGGTCTCCATCCTTTTGTAAAAGATATATTTGTTTCCTGTAATCTATCTTTTATTTCACTTTAATTTATTTATATCTTGAGTTTCTCATATAAGAGAAGCCATGAGATGTTCAAACGCGTGTGTCTGATTTATTACACTTAACATTATGGTCTCAGGTGGATCCATTTTCCTACAAATTACTCAAATTTACCCTTGCTTATGACAGAATAGTATTCTATTCTATATAAATACCACATTGTCTTTGTTCATGTATCTTTTGATGTACAGATAGACCACTTCTAAGTCTTAGATAATACGAGCTGTGCTGTTATACACATGTGAATGCATGCATCATTTTAACATGATGTCCTTCACTCTCAGAAAAGAACTTTGAAGGGGAATAGTTGAGTCAAATGAAATTTCTATTTTTAGTTTTTTGAAGAATCTCTATACTGATTTCCATAGTGGTTATTCTAACTTACTTTCCCACCAACAGTGTAGAGGGACTCATTTTTCCCTACAGCCTCACCAGTACTTATTATTATTTAATTTCTTGATGACAGCCATACTTTCTGGAGTAAGATGGAATCTCAGTGTTGTTCTAACCCATTTGAATTTCTCTAATGGCCAGAGATTTTGAACATTTTTTCATGTATTTATTGGTCATTTGTATTTCTGAGAAGTGTCTATTCATTTTAGTTGCCCATTTTTGAGTGGGTCTTTTATTTTGGGGGCTCTAATTTTTTTTAGTTCTTTATATATTGTAGATATTAGACTTCTGAGGAGTAGATGGCAAAACATTTTTCCCATTCTCTAGGTTGTCTCTTCACTCTGCTAGTTGTTTCCTGTGCTGGGAAGAAGTTTTTAATTTGATATAATCCCATTTTTTGATGCCTCATCTTATTTCTTGTGCAATTGGCATTTATGTTCAGAAAGTTCTTGTCAATGCCTATGCCTTCAAGATTTTTACCCATTTTATCTTTCATCACATTAAGTGTTTCTGTCTTAACATTTAGTTCTGTGATCCATTTTTATTTTAGTTTAGTATATGATGAGAGCTATGGGTCTAGCTTTAATCTTCTGCCTGTGTATATTGAATTTTCCCAAGATCACTTGTTAAGCAGCTGTCTTTTCTCCTGCATATGTTTTCAACTCCTTTGTGAAAGATCAATACCTGAATGTGCCTCGGGTTGTTTCTGTATCTTCTATTCAGTTTCACTGATTCACATTTCTGTTTTCATGCCAATTCCATGCTGATTTTATCACTGTAGCTTTGTAGTATAATTTCAAGCATCACAGGTCTGTGAGGACTTCTGGTTTGCACTTGTTACCCAGGATTGTTTTTGCTATTTTGAATCTCTTCTTGTTCCATATGACTTTTATACTTTTTCATTACTTTTGTGAGGAATGCTGTTAATATTTTCATTGAGAGACTTTTTAAAAATTTAAGTGAAATAAAGGAATTTGGAACACTGAAGTTCTTAAATGAGAAAGTGTTATTGATTTATTTTTTATTTCAATAACTTTATAGCATTTTTAAGGAAATTACTCATTCATTCAAAAAGCCACAAAATTCGTTAAAGCCATAAAACCCTAATATTAATGATACCTAATGTGTCTGAGCATTTTGCTCACTATCTTAATCCTCAGGATGCCCTTCTAGTAAAGGATATTATTTGTGCTTATGGAGAACAAATAACTTGTGTGAGCTCACATGGCTGTTCAATGATCACCCTGGGATTTTAGCCCAAGCATTCCCCCTGGACCCTCACATCTTTTTCTTTAACAAGACATTTGTCCTGGACTGGAGGGGTAGCTCAGTGAGAGAGTACATGCCACCTGTATGAAGCCCTAGGTTGGAACGCTAGCATCACAAAAAACGGTATTTATCCTATAAATAAATAATATAATTGA